AGGCTGGGAGAGCCAAGACTACAAAACTCACTGCACTGTATTAATTATTGCACTGTACTGAATATTGCACTTAATCAAAAATGTTGCACTATTTAATATTGTACTGTATCAAATATTGCACTTGGTTTAGATATTGCACAGTATTAAATATTGCACTCAGTTTAGATATTGCAGAGCATTAAATATTGCACTGTATTAAATATTGCACTTGGTTAAGATATTGCCCTGCATTCACTTTTGCACTGTATTAAATATTGCACTGGCTTGACTACCCTCTGAAGCTTAGCAGTTGCCAGTCTCTACTGAACTAAAGTTAACAGGAGCTGTTAACTTGAAAATGACATTTTCATGACATCACAAAGTGGAACAGAGTATTGTGAGCTTTGGAGATGTAAACAGACTAATAATAAAGTTACTTAAACATGTGTGAATGAAACAAACACAACTCCAGGTCTGTTTTTGAGGAGGACAAGCTCACAAGAGTCAACTTTACATAATATAGGACTTTAATGGCGCTTCGTGGATTGGAGCGTGTATGTACCGCTGACAGACAGGCTGACCAGCAGGGGGCCTACTCCTCACTACAAAGTCACGTCACATACAGCGGGCCTTGCCATTATCAAGGTCGTAGAGAATTGGCGGGTGATTCTTTATTCATGGGGAGAGGAGGAGGAGGAGACAGGGGGGAAGTCTACCTCTGATCTGTCTGTCTCTGTCCCCATATGCAAATCACCTCAACTTTCACCAACCAGTTAGTTACACTCTGAACTTCAACTTCATCTGGGCACGAGAGATGGGAGAACTACAGTGAGTATGGCCAGTAATAATGGACTGACTAGAATGTTTCATAGTATGGCATTAAACATACTTCTGTTTTGTTCAATTGCAGTTGTTTCAATGGTTAAAAAGACCTCAAAAACATGTATTCTTACAGTGATTGGGCTCGCCTCTCCATAGATTTGTTACAGCTATAATGAGTGTGTACAGAATATGAAGAATAATAATGGATTTTCTGGAATGTTTCATAGTGTGGCATTAAGTTTATCTCTCTTTTATGCATTTGCTGTTGTTTTGATGGTTAAAATGCCTTAAAAACATGTATTCTTACAGTGAGTGGGCTCGCCTCTCCACAGATATGTTACAGCTTTAGTGAGTGTGTAAATGAGGAATAATAATGGATTTTCTGGAATGTTTCATAATATGGCATTAAACATACTTCTCTTTTACTCTTGCTGTTGTTTTGATGGTTAAAAATACCTTTTAAAATATACAGAGAGTGTATATTTTTATTATAGCGATATAATATCGTCATGGACACAAGCTGGTAACTACAATCTACCAGAAAGTTACAAAGTGCACCTTTAAATAACTGCACTTACTCCCTAACCTGCAAGTTTGTGGTTCAATCCCAGTGCACATATTACTGCCACTGTGTCCAATGTTGTTCAGTTTTAAACTGAATGTTTTGCTCAATGAGTGAATTTAAATAATGCTTTAAAGAACCCATAATGAAAACTCCCACTTCATGACATCACAAGGTGGAACAGAGCATTTTGCTTTGGAGACATAGAAAGACTAATAATAAAGGATTATTCAAAAGTGTGAATGAAACAAAACACAAGTCCAGGTTTGTTTCTGATGACGTAACTATAGTTACAGCAAAAACTGCAGGGTTAAAATTTCAGGGTAAAATATTTCAGAGTTGTTTTTAACACAAAAAAGTGTTATTTGATCTATTTGAAAGTTAAATGGGGGTTTGAGTTGGGGTTATTAGCCAGAGTTTATATGGTTGAAGTGAATTCAACTTCTCTTAGTGTTAATTCAACTTCTCTTAGTGTTAATGTTGCTCCTCTCACCGACCACTTCAAACTCCCACAACAGAAGACCAGTTTGAACCAGTTTTGTTCAAAATTTTATCTTAAATCAACTAAAGAAAAGTGTAAAAATAAAACACCTATGTGTTGTTGAGCTAAATCAGGATAACCCTACAAAGTGTTATCCGTTTACTCTCAAAACATTAATATAACTCTCCATTAAACAGGAACTTTGGTCCAGAGTTACTTTATTAACTTTTCCAAAAATGTTCCGACGTTAACTCTAGAACAGATTGGACTCATATAAACCCTGAGAAAATGTTCAAATTGATTTTAATTTCAATTTTAACACTCCACTTTGTGTTGTGAATATTCTAACATGTCTTGGAGTAAATTTTGTGTAATATATGACCTTTAATGTTATTGTCTTGATTCTGTATTTTTATTTATTTTATTTTATGTTTTATTTTATTTTAAACGCCTAAAGAGGAATGCATGCAAATTAACTAGCAGCCAGAATCCTCTTTTAGCATTTGTATTTGTACTACACATAACAACTTGTGGTTTCATGATTTGATTGTTGTCTATTTTTCTATTTTTTTATTTCCTTTTTTGAAATATTTGAGCAGTTTGAGGAGTAAAGCTACATCGCTCAACCTTTTCTGTACAAACAAGACAAAAAAACAACAAAACAACCAACCACGGCACATTTGAAGGCGCTGTTTTTGAGCGGAAAATATTCGGCGGACAGCTCGACTAGAGGATGCTTTTGTGCGCCGTGTGTGTCGTGTGTGTGTGTCGTGTGTGTGTGTGTGTCGTGTGTGTGTGTCCTGTGTGTGTGTGCAGCCTGTCTAAACACGAGGGGGACTGAGGAGACTTCCCCCGGGGGAGCGAGGAGCGGCTGGTGGCTCTGGGGTCTTTTGTTTTTGTGTTTTGTTTTCACTTCAACCAAACGCGCACACAATATTATACACACATACACACACATAATCACTTACACACACACACACACAGCGGGGGGGAGAGAAATAGATACACATATTTACTCACACACACATTCGCACAAACATATTCAGCCTCAGTACTTGTGTAATGAAAAGGTACATTGCGTAACTTTTCTGGTGGAGGGTCCGTCAAATGCTTTTCTCCATGGAGATGTTATTACTTTGTCTAGAATGTTCCACAGTATGGCATTAAACCTTTCTATATTCCGGGAGATCAAATCAGGGCCAAGTTACAGGTCAGATCTGTGGAGAGGCGACCCCGCTCACAGTCAGAATGTTTGTTTTTCTAGGTGTTTTTGAGCTATAAAACCACCTGTATTTTCTCCTTCGAGTTTACATGGAAATAATAATTCCGAATTGAGGTTTACATGGAAAACACGTTAAATCGTCTTTATTTAATTCCGCTCAACGCCTGGGGTTGGGGAAGGGTTCTGATTGGACAGAGACACCAACGAATTTACGTCGACCGGAAGAAAACACACACTTCAGCTGCTACCGGCTTTTCTGTCATCTCGGTTTGTCGTTACTCCACGGACACAGACACGATTCAAACTTTTTCCGCAGTGGTTCCGATGATAATTGCGCAGCAGCTGGAGAATTCTCTCATCACGCTTTACATCTGTCGGCTGAGGAGGAGAAGGGAAGAGTGTCGGAGAAGGAGGAAGAAGACAAACTTGAGTCAACGGCCGCTCTGCCTCAGCCCACTCCCGCATCCTGCTCGCAAATCCAAAGAGACGCGGATGAAAGTCTGAAGCCAGGACTGGTGGAGCCGGATCATCTGAATCGCGTCAGAAGGGCGAAACAACGAACATGAACTGAACCACCAACATTATTTTTAACAAGAATAAACGTTTACATGATCTAAGAATACATAAATTTTGCTTTAAAACTGAATAAACCACCCACTTACATTGGAATTAAGTTTAATTCTGAATAATAATTTTCATTAGGAATTACCGTATTTTCCGGGCTATTAGACGCGCTCTTAAGCCTTCAACCCCATCAAAAAACCACTGCGCGCCCACAATCCAGAGCGCCCTATACACGAATCCACTCGGGTGTCACAGCACGACTTCAGTAAACTACAAAGCCGCAACACACACAGAGCAGACACACTCATCACTCCACACCGACGAGGAACGGAGGAACGAACCGAAAAAGCGAGCGCAATGTGCCACTTCTAGACACAACTGAACAACTGAGTCACCGCGAACACGCCGACAATCCAGCGGTCCCAGACAGCACCCTCCCTACACGCCACAACTGAACAAAGCCAAGAGTCACCGTGAACGCGCCAAACAAGTCCCACTGACCCATCCAACTGTTGTGTTTCCTTTAATGCGCCTTATAGTTTAAGTTTATTTGTGAAAAAAGTTCGAAAATAGACCATTCTACGACAGTGCGCCTTATAATCCTAAACGGAAAATACGGTACCCACTTTGGAATTAAGTTTAAGTGTTTACATGGTCTTTTTAAAGCGGAATTCATTTTTATTCAGAATTTTTTTCTTTTAAATTTGGGATTAAAACTCTTACGTAAATGTGGAAACTGTGGAACATTCCAGACAGAGTAGTGACGCATCAATAGAAATGAGCAGGCGACGGATCCCCAACCGAAAAGTTGCATAGTGCACCTTTTAAAAAACATAAATTAACGACCAGATTTGAGAAAGATTAAACTCTTACGCTTGAAATATGAAAATAAAATTTAAAAAAACATAAACACACACACATTCATCACTCAGGCTCGGGTTTGTGTGGAGCTATGACGTGTCCTTGGCGTCCCTGCGTTTTGTATAAAGTCATGAAACTCTACTCCGCTTTCGTCCGACAAAATGGAGATGTGGCTCGGATTGGCTCCTACATGAGGGGGAGAAATGCAATGACCTTTGACGGTTTTTTTTTTTTTGGTTTCGGGCTATGTTTCGTATTGTCGCTTTATCTCCAGATATACATTCAATATTTGAGCAGGAAGTAGAAAGGGATGGCTGCTGGCCTAGGAACCAAAGTCGTCACCACACCTGCAAGAGAGAAGAGGGGGAGGGTAAAAGAAGCAACACAAATGAGCCCTAAGAGGAAAACGAGATCGGATCAACGGCTGGAGCGAGGGAGAGGAGGAGGAGGAGAAAGAGGAGAGGAAGGAGAGGGAGAAAAAGAGGAGGAGGAGGTGGAGCGGAGCAAACCTTTTCACCAGGTCCTTGAAATACAAACTGCAGGAAGCTAGAACATTTTGGTGGACCTCAAATTCTTTGCCTTCAACAATTATTTTCAGGTCTGTAAATTCTTTCGATCTGCGTTGCTGGTTCAATTCTTTCAACATTTCTGGAGGAGAAGAAGAAGAAAAAAACAGGACAATTCCACATGTGGGGTTAGTGCCGTCGCCACAATATTTCGAATGTGCATTTTTAAAGCAAGAAGAAGAAGTGAGTCAGAAAACGTGTGAGAATAAAGAACAAAAGTACAATGTGATTATAATACATCTATATTCTACACACGCATGCAGACTGTATATAACTCTACTGTATATATGAACCAACTCAACTATTTAAATGAAAGGCATTTCAAGCATTTCAGGAGTGAATGTTGTGGAAAAGTACAATTCTTTTTGTTGATAAATTGAAAAAACAATATATTATACATAATCAAATGATCAGATTACAGATCACATTTTCAAATTTGATGACAGGAATTTATATTTTGAAATGGCAGCATAGTGAGTGATAAAAAAAATTAAAATTTAAATAAATTAAATGAAATTAGTTGTAGAAAAAAAATAAAAAATCATACTGTACACAAATTGAAAATTAATAAATAAATAAAAATAAATAAATAAATACAATTAAAACATTGAAATTAAAAAATGAATGAAAAAATTTAAATATTAAAATAAAAAGTTAAGAAAAAATAAATAAAACATTAACTTACTGGACACAAGTTGAAAATGTATTAGTAAAAAAATATAAAATAAATACAATTAAAACATTAAAATAAAAATAAAATAAAAAGTAAAACATTAAAATAAAAAAAGTTAATAAAAATAAGTGGACATGAGTTAAAACATATATAAATTAAAATAAATAAATATGTTTTATTCAATTAAAAAATTTAATGAATAAAACAAAAATAAATAAATATATAAAATTAATAAAATACAAAAAAAAAACAAATAAATAAATACAATTAAAAAGAATTTAAATACAAAATAAAATGAAGGAAAATTTAATAAAATTAAAACATAAAAAAAAAAAGTTAGTAAAAAAAAAATGCAATTAAAACACTCAAATCACAAAGACATCTTATTAGACACATGTTGCACGCCATTTGAAATCTCCAGCAGTTACCAGCTCAAATTCACCACTAAAATTAAAAACTTTTCCATAAAATTCAGATATCGAAAAAGCACTAAAACATCACATTTGTATCAGACTTATTCTCAAACACAGCAGCATCAGTTTCAAAAGCACAAAAGCTGAATGAACTTTTCAAAATGGAGCGCGCTGCAAACACAGACACTGTCAATGCATAATTCATGGCAAAATCACGTTCTCTGGCTCCGGCTAGTGCCCCCCCTCATCCCCGCCACGACCTTCAAACATCGCTCAACGGAGAGAGAGAGGAGGATAGAAACAAGACTAAAGCTGATCCGAAAAATCCACCTTCATCCTTCCTTTTTTTCTAAACAACTCCCTCTTCTCACAACCTCGCCGAAACTGCAAAACAACGCACGCAAAACACGAGAGCGGAGAGCGTACGTGTGGAACAGGAGCAGGTTCTAGTGTGTTTGCGTGCGTTTTAATGAGACACCATCAGGGGGCGCCGTGAGGGGAAGACAGCGGGGGTCCCATAACTTATTCTACACTGCCTGAGGATGGAAAACCAGCATCGCGCTTTGCTAATGTCCCACCGAGAACGCAATTACGACTCGTACGTGGAGACAGGAAGCAGGGGCCGTACGGGGACTTTTGTTTTTGTAAGGGCGTCGCTACTGGCAATGCATGCTGGGAGATGTGATAATTGGAACGCGGGGAGCCTATTGTATATGTGCACGAATATAAACAGTGACAATACACGACCGCATAGGCCCAACAAATCTACACTGTTCAGGATATGATGTTTAAAGATGCATATGAAAGTTTTCTGCCGGAAGGTCTGGTATGATTCTGTTCAGGTACATGTTATGGATTTGTCCTGAAGGGTTCACTGTATGGCTTTAAAACTACTACTACTACTACTATTACTACTACTACTACTACTAAACCAACTACTACTCCTCCTCCTCCTACTACTACTATTACGACTAACCCGAACTACTTCTCCTTATCGTACTACTACTACTAACCCTACTACTACTACTACTACTACTACTACTACTACTACTCCTATTACTACTACTACTACTCCTATTACTACTACTACCCAATTATTACTCCTACTACTACTAAACCAACTCCTCCTCCTCCTCCTACTACTACTATTACTACTACTACTACTACTATTACTACTATTACTCCCCTTACTTCTCCAACTACTCCAACTACTCCTACTCCTCCTATTACTACTATTACCCAATTATTACTCCTACTACTACTAAACCAACTCCTCCTCCTCCTCCTACTACTACTATTACTACTACTACTACTACTACTACTACTACTACTAAACAACTACTACTCCTACTATTACTACTACTACTACTACTAAACAACTACTACTCCTACTACTCCTCCTATTACTACTATTACCCAATTATTACTCCTACTACTACTAAACCAACTCCTCCTCCTCCTCCGACTACTACTACTACTACTAATACTACTAAACAACTACTACTCCTACTATACTACTACTACTACTACTACTACTACTACTACTACTACTACTACTACTACTCCTACTACTACTAAACAACTACTACTCCTACTACTCCTACTACTACTACTACTACTACTAACCCAACTACTAGTCCTACTACTACTATTACAACTACTAAACAACTACTACTCCTACTACTACTCCTACTACTCCTACTACTACTAACCCAACTACTAGTCCTACTACTACTATTACATCTACTCCTCTTACTTCTCCAACTACTCCTACTACTCCTACTACTCCCCCTTCTCCTCCTCCTGCTATCACTACTACTACTACTACTACTACTACTACTACTACTACCCCCCCAGTGTACACAGACACTGGTCATACTACTACTACTACTACTACTCCTTCTTCCAGTGCGCTCACATACTTTGATCTGCTGTAACAGTAAAATATTGTAGTAGCAAACACAGAGAATCAGAACCTCCTGGCAGGGCAGAAGCCTTGAATATTTTGTACATACATTTTTAAAATTGTAGAATCGCTCAAATTAGTATGTACTTGTACTTTCAATACTAGTTTTAGAATCCCTTATATCTGAGTATTATTTGAAAACCCTTCTTCAAAATATATGTTCAAATTGTAGGTATTTTGGAGGTTTTATCACAACATAAATAAACGCATAAAAAAATGTATTTATTTATTTTTAACAATTTATATTTTTTACTCTTCATTATTATATTTTATTGTGATGTGTGAGTCTCTAAAATAAAAACAAAAAATGCATTACAAAAATTACAATGGGCTAAAAAATGATGGATCAAAACAAAATCATAAAATAAAATAAAAATCCGTGTACAATTTTAAAATCAGAAGTATGATAGGAACTCGCGATGGTCCATATCTCACAATGAAAACAATCCGGCCGCTCGTGACCTAAAAACAGACTCTAATTAACCTCCGCGCACATTTTCATCTCTTTTTCTCTCTCTCCGCTCGGACTTCTTTCACCTCCCGCTCTCTCCTATCACACAATGGACCCTGGACTCGGAATTAAAGCGGGAGATGGAATAAAACAGTGAGGCGCCGTAACAAATAAAAGCCATTGACGAGTCTCTTTCTCCCCTCGCTAATGGAGAGAGACAAAGTGACCTGGATTCTCCTCACGCCGAATAACAAGCACACGCAGTAATTAGATCTGCAAAGAGAAAAGTACTACAGAAAACTTTCACATATGTATCCAACTAAATATATAGATATACATACACAGAGAGAGAGTGAGGAGTGACTTTGTGAATAGTCGTTTTAGAAGTCTCCATGGAGATGTGAAAGCTTTGTCTGGAATGTTCCACAGTATGACGTTAAAGTTTTCTGTCATCACGGAGGTCGAACCAGAGCAAGTTACAGGTCAGATCTGTGGAGAGGCGACCCCGCTCACAGTCAGAATGTTTGTTTTTCGAGGTATTTTTGAGCTATAAAAAAAAACAAAAAAAACACCTGTAATGTTATAAATGTAAAGTCGAGTTGTTTAATGTCATACTCTGGAACATTCTTTTTTTTAATAATAGATCACCACTAGAACGTTAAGTGTAAGTACTGTAACCTACTACTACTACTACTGCTGCTACTACTACTTCTATGACTATTACTACTACTACTACCACTACTACTATTACTACTACTACTACTTCATCTGCTACTACTACTACTTCGACTATTACTACTACTTTTACTACTACTACCACTACTACTACCATTACTACCACCACTACTACTACTTCTACTACTACTACTACTACTACTACTACTACTACTACTACTACCACTACTACCACTTACTACCTACTACTACTACTACTACTACTACACTACTACTACTACTACTACTACTACTACTACTACTACTACTACTACTACTACTACTACTACTACTACTACTACTACTACTACTACTACTACTACTACTACTACTACTACTACTACTACTACTACTACTACTACTACTACTACTACTACTACTACTACTACTACTATACTACTACTACTACTACTACTACTACTACTACTACTATTACTACTACTACTACTACTACTACTACTACTACTACTACTACTACTACTACTACTACTACTACTACTACTACTACTACTACTACTACTACTACTACTACTACTACTACTACTACTACTACTACTACTACTACTACTACTACTACTACTACTACTACTACTACTACTACTACTACTACTACTACTACTACTACTACTACTACTACTACTACTACTACTACTACTACTACTACTACTACTACTACTACTACTACTACTACTACTACTACTACTACTACTACTACCTACTACTACTACTACTTACTACCACTACTACTACTACTACTACTACTACTACTACTACTACTACTACTACTACTACTACTACTACTACTACTACTACCACTACTACTACTACTACCACTACTACTACTACTACTACTACTACTACCACT